CCTTAAGAACAACAAACTCCCCAATTTCAGCATCAGAATGTTCTGGCCCTGAAACCCTGCTCCAGCTCCAGAAATCACAGGGAGCCTCCTCAACACCATCCATGAGAGGGTCATAAGAAGTGATCCAGAATGCATCATCACCACTATCAGGTATCCCATGAGACTTCCACTCAAGAATACACAAGAATACTCAGTGACCCCTGTGATCAAGGGAATTTGGGAATATGGATTCACAGGAGACACAGATCAAATTCCTCCTTCACTCCTGTAAATCTCTTTTCCACACTGATATTACTTTCACAGTGAATCCAGCATCTCCAGCCTAAGCACAAGCCATGGGCTAGATCTCAAGAAAAGGTAAATTCAAGGCAGAAGCAGAGGTAATACAATCCCAGTAACTACAGGAATTATCCACAATGGATGAAGAATTTTCACAACATTCTGAAGTGTGTATTTCTATGAGTAGATTATCAGCCACGCCTACCCAAGGGCTTTGACTTTCCCTTTCCTGTTTAAATTTTCCCACATGGTGCAAAGACTTCTTGAGCTACATTTGGCAAGTGTATCTCAATTTCCCTGGGGGTGCTGGAAATCAAAACAAAATGGTGTGTTCAAGCATTTTTCTGGTTAAAATCTCAACAGAGTATGGGACAAAATACAGAAAAGAGAATGCTATATTGAGCATTACAGCTTGCAGTGATGTGATATGGGCAGGTATCAATGCCTGAATCTGCCATATCTAAAACTATGTGCCCCCTGCTCACCCGCATGTATTTTGTAGATGTGCTCATATAAATCCTTTCATAACAGTAGAAAGATTCATTGCAACTCTGAAAAATCTTAAATAATATATATATATAGTATATATTTTGTAGACCTTCATATGAAAGCACTAATTCCTCTGGGAATAGCAAAATATACTAAGGAGAGAACAGGAGAGAAAGGGTGGAGAGAAGCTAAAGCATATTTATTATCCTGCTGTTGCTGTTGATCTTTTAATGTTCTACAATTATTCAGCAAGTATTTATTCCTGAGAAAAAGCACCCCTGACAACCAAGCTCTTGGAGTTCTTCCACAAGTCAGTTTTCCAGCAGGGTTAGAATCTCTACCCTCAATTTTGTCCAGTGAAAATACGAAAAAACATCTCAATAAGGAATATGTGTTCAAGCTGGATTTCTCTAAGTTTTCAGCAGGCTACATTTTTCTTGCAGACCCTGGATAAATAGCTCTTGCTCTGCTAGTCAGAGCTTCTTCAGGTTTTTGTTTTGCTTTGGACACCAGCATGGTGCAACTGCTATAGGACTGCCAAAACCAGAATCAGTGCACCAAACCATCATGACTGAGCAAGTTTTACTTCCTGACACTGCTTACAGATGACGTCCAAACTATTTCTAGCAGACAGCAACCAATGCTTTCTTCTAGGGACTAGTTACCACTTCTTGCATGGTGCTAGGAGCTGATAGTTGAGGATCACCTGGGACATCAGTGCTGGGCAGGGAACAGCACCTTCTCCTGACTCCTGCTCTGCTCCCCCACCTTGAAGCACAGACCTATTTAGCTGCTCACATAAAATTCCTTTCCTACTAAAGCAATTTTATTTAAAAGAAATCAAAATCTTCCTTATTTCATAATTCTCAACACATCAGTAGCACTCTAAGGCATCAGGGTAGCAAAAGACTAAAATCACTAGAGGAGAAATACAGTCCTGTTTAGCTTCATCGCAGCTAACAGTTGCTAGGAGAGCAAGGACCTCTAAGTAATGGTTGAAACCTGAAAGTTCTTTACACAGATTAAGAAATCAGTATGTGTAGATTCTAGAAGAAAAAGTGGAAAGCCACAAGCACAGGGATGCTCTGCTTGGTGTCAGGGGCTGGCTTCATTGAGTAACACCCAGCTCCTGTCCCAGGGCAGCTGCTGCTGCTGCTCAGTGCTTTACTTCTTGCTCAAAAGACTTCTTGCCTAATTTTCTCCACACTATCTTCAAGTAAACAGTATCAAAATTTGTTTGAGGACTATAATTTAATCATTACTGAGGACAAAGTATGTGCTTCTTTCATCTTAAAAAACACTGCATTTGTACATATCACATCAAATTTTCATAAAATGGGAGACAATTAAACATCTTACGATAAAAAAATTACCAAAACCCTACATTTTTTTCTTCAATAAGAATATATGAGAAGACTTCTTTTATCTGTTTTCACATCCTTTTGCATGAAAATTTAATTAATGGTCATAAATACCTAGAAATACTTTCTCCAAAGCATCCTTTAAGAGTCCTCACTTCTTACTTAGTTTATTTATTGCACGGAGATTTATCCAAGGTGTCAATAACACTGCAGCTACCTACTTATCTGATCTCCTGCTCAGGCACACTCAGCAGAGCGTGCCAGAATTTGGTTAGTAAATTCCAGTTGCAGCAAGCCTGGTTTGTCCCAGCATAACAAAGGCTAAACAAAATCTTCCCTGCAATTGCTCCTGCAGCACCAGAGGAAAAGGGAGAATGTCCTTCTCTCCTGTCTTTTTTTTTTTTCCCCCTAAATTCACAAAGAATTATTCTTTAATACTAGGAATTTGAAAGCAAATTTCTGTTTTGGTCATGTCAGACCTGGTGGGCTGTGTACTAGTAAAAGACAGCAAAATAATGCTTTGTAACCCAAGGAGTTTGTAACATGAGGGAGACAGTTAATAAAACAAACAAGGGGATAAAGCAGATAGATGTGGAAAACAAATTATGACCACAGCTGCTCAGAAGTGGCTGGCTACCTATAATTGTTGATCTAGTCCTTTTCTCCAGCTGCTAAACTGCATTAACATGGCTAAAATACCTTTTATACTTCTTTGGCTCTCCTTGTTGCTTTCCCTTTCAAGAAAACATCACTAATTACTAATTAAAAGGAGTAGTGTATGGCAGAGTAAGTGGGTCACAAGCCATATCATGAAAGCAGTAGTAAAAATGATAACATTTTTTGAATGCTCCTGATTTAGGGAGCATATATTTTCTCAACTGGTTTAAGTTTCAATAGTTTCTGTGTTTTACTGTTTCTTCCTTCTTAATTCCCCTGGGTATCTTGTACGAGGTGCTTGAGTCATATCCCCCAGAGACTACAGAGAGCTTCAACTACTATGGCTTCATGTCTAAGATCCTGTGAAGCAGGCAGTGTTCTTAATTAATTCCTTAGACACCCAGCCGACAGAAACTGGCACCTTTATCTACTGTCTACTGCTCCCTTCCACTTCCAGGCATGAACAGCCCAGGTCCAAGCTGGCAGCCTTTCCCAGTGGAAGTATTTTCCCTGAAATGAGCCACACGGAAAATGACAGGACTCGGCTGCACAGGGTTCTGGCAAGAATAGCCTCTAAACAACAGGAAAAGCCCAATAGTCTTCACCAAGGAGACATGTCAGCACCTGAGGCTTGCACCTTCTTGCAGAGAGTGAACTAAATGCTCCAGGAATAAAATGAAGTCGAAGCAATAGCAGGTTTACACAGCTGGTACCCACAAGGAGAGCATGTGCCAATCTCACACCAGACCAGCGCTAATAAATGAGCTTTCCAAGCACAAGTGCTGCACAGAAGAGAGGCAGAGGTGCATAAAATTGTGGGCTTGGGGCTAAGGTTCCACATTCAACCCATATCATGCCCATGGACACACAACCACCCCCCCCACACACTCACAAATCATTCCTCAACAGGGATCAACTTCACTTTCCAATAGCACTGACAGATTCATTTGCTTGGTCAAGAACAGGATAGGAGATGTACATCAGCAAGCAGATCATTTTGAAGGAAATGGATTTCTTTCCACAGCTGCTGAACAACATTTTATTCCTTAAAAAGAGGCACAATTAACAAGCAGTATTCATGAATATGATACAGCCTGATTTGATCAGTGTTTTCTCTCTTTATTAAAATGTTTGTTAATTATTCATTCCATAATTTTCCTAAAATGCTTGCTAAATACTTTAAAAAGTATGCATCTTTATACATTCAATTACAGGCAGAAAATTTCTATTGCTTGATTGGGGAGTCATGATGCCAACAGCTCTCATAGCTTGCCATCTTTGAAGGCAGAATCATACTTAAAACTTAGTATAACTAGGCTTTTCATCTGAAACTGTAATTACTTTCCACTTCAGAGATACACAATGAAACATCGTCCTATACTTAAGCCTCCCAGAGCACAGCCAGCTTGCAAAAATCGGACAAACAACATTATCAATTTTCTCAAGGGAGTAAGATATTTGCCAACTGCCAAGAAGAAACTGTAACTATTCATGTGTAGCAAAAGTAGATGCAGTGTGAGAAACTACATTGCTATGTCCATATTCCAAAAAAATCACTGAAGCTGAATGAAGCCTCAGTTTATGGCAAACCAAGCAACATGAAAAACTGGAACAGCCTCCAGGAAATAAGTAATATACAAATGAAGAAAAAGAAAACAAAGGTTTTGTTTGGGGTAATGAGGGGAAGGAATCAACTTCAATGTAAATACTTGCTATTTAAAAAAAAAGTTCAGCAGCAAAAGGTTGGAGCGAGATTTGGCACACAAAAAAATAATCTCACTGCCTGCAAACTATAAAACATGACCCAAGTCAGAGAAAAAAATGGCATCAGTACTTCAGCTGAAATTGCAACTCACCTGATACACATAATGAAGAGGACGAAATTCCAAAAGGCTTACACACATTTTACATTATTAAATTATTATTTTAATAAATTATGTAAATAATTATTACACATTATTATGTGTATTTATACACACACAAACATACATATTCATGCTTTATCTGAATCCTTCTATACCAAGTTATTACAACCACATCAGAGCAAGGGAGTAAGAAAAGACAAGTAAACAGAAAATTACTTTAAAGAGCCGTTAATCACAACATTGCTTATTAAAGAAAGGAATGAATCGATTTAAAAACTAATTCTAAATTCTAATTCTAAATTCTAAATTCTTCAACCAGTAGCTTGATCAAAACAACAAAACCCCTTACCTGTGCATTCTTATTCCTGGCTTCTCTCCTTGCAGCTTTTTCTTTTAACCTCTTCTCCTGAAATAAACAAGATGTATCATTTTAAAGCAAACTCCTGCATTGTTATTATTTTTTTTTAATATTTTAAGATTATTGTTGAGCCGTCTAGATATTTTTAAAGCATTCATGTTAGACTGGTGGTATTAACCCTACATGTTATTGGAAACAATAAATGAAAAATCTGAATGAGATACTACTCATTCTTCTTGCTCTTAAAGGAAATCATAAAACTACAAGAATGATTGAAGCTCATATTTTACCCAGACTTACTACTCCTAAAGGAATAATGCAGCTGAGGAATTTAACAGAGTAAGTATTAATCTGTAAAATAAGGTAGTTAAAATGGTACTAAGAGACACAATTTTTCTTTTTTCCTCAGTGACTTAAAATGAAATCAAATCCACTTAACAAACTAAACTGAAAATTTTCCTAACCAGAATTGCTGAAGTAACTGGAGAGTGAAAGCTAAAACATCTTAACCCTTTCATATCTCCATTACCAACAAACACTTTACAAAAGCATTTGCTTAGTAATTGCATCGATTCAGAAACCACTACAAAGTTCTCTTTACCAAAATGATTCTGCTACAGGAAAATTACCTAAATGCAGTCATAAAACTCATCCAAAGCTGCCTGCTAGATCTGTCAGCACACAGAAGTGCCACAGATATTTAAATCAAATGACATTCACTGCTGCTTGTTTTGTTTATTCTTACACCAACTGAAGTATTATCTCTAATTTATATGGTCAGGTCCTTGCAATTGAACATCCTTTAAATTCTGTATTTCATGAGGAAAGGACAGATATTCAGGTGAGAGCACATCCTCTAGAAAAGCACATGGCTCCCTCTTCTTGTCTTAGTGATGCTGATGACATTGGTATTGAAAATCTTCTATGCTAGCACAAAAATGTTTCTGAAACACAACTCTGTTTCTCTGAGCAATATAGGCCATCCTCACAACAGCACATTTAGACTTGAGTCCACATAAAAGGAGAAATTAACATCAGTCCAGGGTCAGCACTTCAACACAGAGAAGGCTGAAGAGCAGTTACATATCAGCTCACTCATGGGAGTAATGAGAAAGCTACAGCTTCAGCAGTCCCAGTGCCACTTCATCACAATGATGCTGCCGAAACATATTGGAAGGTATGACACAAAGTTCTTTGGAAAAGCAGTGTCTGACTGCAGACATGGGAAAAGGAGAACACAGCCACCAAGATTTTCAAAGTTGGTGTCGAAATTCAGGGGCTTTTGAGACATATCTCTGGTACATGCCATTTTCTATTCTCCCAATTGCCTAAACAACAAAAGCGTTAGCTTATTTTCAAAATCCCTTTATGCAGAAGTCAGCCTCTTCTCTCCAAATCAAAACGAAACAATTCCCCAATGCTTTGTGCAAAGCTGTCTGACTTGAACAACTCAATACAGACTTCAATGCATGCTGTAAAAAAAAACAAAAAACAAACCACAAAACAAAAAAACCCACAGCTGTCTTATTATTATACTGTCTGCTCTACATGCAGTTCCTCCAATAAAGTAGACCGATGTATCATGGTTATAACATGATCATCCATGTTACGATTCCTTCACTCCCAAGTCAAATTTATATAAGTTTCTGATCACTTTTACTTTTGTTTTTGTAATTATTTACTTAAGTTTTCCATTTCCTCCACTTTAAATGCTGCACATTCTCCACTCTTCGGGGTAACCATCGGGGCTATCTCAATTTTCTGCTAAAACTGTGGTAATATTCAAACTTTACCCCTCAAAAACAGAGAGAACACAGCTAGAAAGTAATACATCACATGTAAGAAAGCAACTTTTAACTTGGACAGTCTAGAAAATTTTGAATAGAAAAATTCTGATAGGAAAATTCTATAGTTTATGAAATATGTTTTAACTGCAGATACAGACTTGAGCAAATATAGCAGCAAAGTTCCTCCTCAAGGGATTTATAACAGAGCACCCAGAAGACAGCTATGAAAGCAGAAGATTGACATAAGGACACAGAAGAGGTGTACACAGACAGCGTTATATACTTTAGTCTCTAAAGAATGGTGAAGACACAAAAAATTCTGAAGTTAATAGGTCTGAAATAAGGAGCACAAGAGAAAAACAAGACAGAGAAACAATCACCAGGAGATGTTGTCAAGATCTCCTTTTTTTTCCCCAGAAAGGGGGGAGAGAGGGTTTGGATCTTTGTCAACAAGAAACAAAAGTAGATTTTGCAGAGTGCAGGTATGGTGGCACTGAGCTGGAGTTAGGAGTGCATTTCAGAAGCCAATGTCCTCATCAGGCCTGCTTCTGCGGCTTGACACTAACACACTCCAAACAACACTGGGCATTCACAGGGTCACAGGATCATTCCAAGTGGAAAGAACATGAGGGGTCTCTGGTCCAACCTCCTGCTTACAAAAGAGGTGAGGTCATACTGCACAAGGCCTTGTCCAGCCATTTCAAAATCCCAAGGCTGGAGACTGCCCATCACCTCTGGCCAGCCTGTGCCACAGACTGACTGCTCTCACACAGAAAAAATCCCCATAAAACCATGCTGACTGAATCTCTTGCTTTAACTTAAGGCCACTGTCAGAGGTTTTGGTCCATTTAATTTGTGACATGTTAATTTACTAATCAGAACACCCAAGTGAAAAGCCATGCAGAAGTTCCAGTGTATTTCACAGACGTATTTACAAACCAGGTTCTGCTCTGATAAAAACATATAAATACAACTCATTATACACCTAATTTCCACAAACCCACATTGGGTTCATATTCTACATATTCTATTATATTCTATATATAGTATTATATTCTTTTCATTTAGTTTTTCATTAATAGTATTACATAGGTCAGAGACCTTCTTGGTCAGACCTTTTAAAATTTACTGCAAATTATCGTTTTTTCTTCACACTTACAAAGCTACTTAAAAATGATGGTTATAACCTCAGAAATCAAAGGGATGAAAATTTTTAGCCATCGTCATGTAATATGGCTAAATCATTTGCCCTTAAAGAAGAGTTGTAAGTCTTCTACCTTTTCTGCACTAGAATTGACAACAGAAACAGCTCTGCCTAAAAGGATCCCAAACCATGAATAAAGCCATGTATAATATATGGAAGAACTACTCGCTATTCTTAACTGTGAAGTTAAGAAGTCTGCCACTGGCTTCTTTTCACATTTAATTTCCCCTCCTCCTACTGCTGGGTTTTAAAACAAAAATTCGTACCCCATTTAATTCTTAAAACTCCAACACACTTAAATATTTTAACATTTACATTCCATATTCTCAACTTGAGACAAAAAATAATGAATAGCAGCATGGCAGCTCTCTCTAGCTGGAGAGGTAAGGAATGTGTGAAAGACACATAAATAGAGAGTTTAAATCCCAAGTTTTTAGTTATAAAAAAATTAAGTCTAGCAATTTTGAGAGTTCTTCCCTCCCAAAGGAAATCTCCTCTTCCTTGGACTCTCCTCTTTCTACATTTAAGAGTTAGTTTTACATTTCACAGAGGGTTTACTGCAATATAAAAAAATGCAGCATTTATTTCTGTTATTTCTATTACAAACAGTTTTGTTTCATACAGTAATTTTTCTTCTCGCTTTTTTAATGTGTAAGAAATTTGTACAATAAAATCTCCTATCTTTTAAAGAATTTATGCAGAGGTCAGATTTACATTCAATTCTTTTATCTGATAAACTGCAGTTTTCCCACCCTAAAATTTCACTGACCTCTTACATTTCCTTACCTGAAGTCAAAAAAAAAGTTTCACTCAACACAACTAATGCGTATTACGGCATATTTAGCTCCGAGAGAATTAAAAAAGCCTGTGGCAAATCTATTTCCTGTAAAAATTTCATGCTCATCTGAGTCCTCTGAAGTCTTTATTTAAATACTCAAGAACTCCCTCAGGTTTTGATCCATCATTTTCACACTAGATTTTCAATAACTATTCCTTTACATACTGATGCCATAATTTGGAGCTACCAACCCATTCTATTTAACAGCTGATGTAATGGTTTACCACACAACAGATCTTCAGGTGACCGTGTCCTGGAATAAATCACTCCATTGCCTGGAAAAATCTGGCTGTCATTTGCAATTGGTCAATACTGGAACCTGATACCATGTCTTGGTATCTGACTATCTCTTGTTATTTTAGTGGGACACAGCTAAATTCAGCCAGTTGTGCTGCAGAAAACAGAGTTGTTCAGAAGTTCAGAGCAGCTCTCATATAGTGGCATTTCAATAGCCAAGAGCTGCTTCCAACAAAATTTTGAAGCACAAATATGCTTTGAAAACTTCCTTAATAAACATGTTTCCCACATTTTTCTACCCCAAGATTTTACACCAAGCTTGAATTGTTTACGTGCTCATGGTCATTGCTACATTTATACTGCTATGTAGCTTAATATTTCTCCTTACAGAGACTAGAAAACCGTCTACACACAAGCATTTCTCCAACTACCAAAACAAATTAACATTCCTAACTCCAAGATAAAACTGAATCAACTTATTAGTATTTCCTTGAATATAATTTTTTTTAAAAAAAACCTGGAAATTAAGTTAAATTGATTACCATTAAATAAACCAATCTTAATACCTTGAAGAAAAAAAAGCAAAAGTTTTTTTATTGTTTTGTGTTTGTTTTGTTGTGAAGTTTTTTGGAATCTCAATGTTTGGTTTTAGAAACCTATTAAATAATCTCTTCAAGCAACAAACTATATAAACATAATTATGTAAGCCTCATCTGTAAAGCCAATGTTTACCTTAAAGCCACGGATAGTGAAACACCTAGTAATCACCAATTTAAGGCAACACAGAGTAGGCATCAAAGGCATGTGAAAAAGAGCACAGGGACAATTTTAAACATTAAACTAGAACTGGGAAAAGTCTTAGAGGCAGTGGAAAAAAGGCATTCTCATTAAAAAGAAGAAAACAGAAGCTTACAGAAACTGACCCTTAAAAAGACATTTTTGGAACAAAACCAGCACAGGAAACCAGTGGAGAAAGATCAAA